AGACTGTCGTCGATACTAGACTGTCGTCGATACTAGACTGTCGTCGATACCAGACTGCCGTCGATACACTACTATAGTCAACTATTGGGAGTTGGTTCTTAATACTTCGCTTCTCAAGTGCCTACTGCAAACTGTGCTTCACTTCCTATGTCGGAAAAGACTATGTAGAAATTATATAAGCGCCTTTCACAAGTAAATTTAGCTAACTACTCCGAGAGTTTACTGTATGTCGAAGAAAACCTAGCTGCACAAGCCATCGCTCGATAGATAAATATCCTGAGTCGACCAATACCCGGGGACTTAAGTAGAAATTCGTGCTTTTGTGTCGAGTTTGTATTAGCATTCAAATAGTCTCAAATCTATGCCTGACAAAACTTACATTAATCAAATCTTTTAAGCTGAGAGTAGCAGTTTGGGAAATAAAACTCTTACAGTAATCACTGATATCACACCCATTCTCCAGTGCCAGGTTTTCTGGGTTGCGTCGAAAGGTACCAGGTTCCTTAAGTCGTACCAGGAGAGTTCCAACAGTCTTCAGATCGTCCGTGAAATTTTGTGTTGGGGGCTTCATGATGGATTCAGCAATGTTTGCTATAGAGGGTTAATACCTGCGTATCATGATCTTTACCAGGGCATGCAATACCCAATTTAACGTCACATGTGTAGTACGAGAGTAGAACATTTCTAGGACAAAGTTGTCCATACGCAACTTGCAGCTCGCTATGGATATACCGAAGCCCATGGAGTACCTAATGGTGTTAAATATATAAATTAGATATCTACCGTATGCTCACCTACCTCTTTCGCTATAATTGCCAGCTCAATTTCTGTGATATCTTGGTGGCAGGTAGCTTGAACCTGATGCAACGATGTTTCGAGGGACTCATAGGCCAAGTGTATCGATGGGTTATCTGTAAAAACATCTATAAGACGGACAATATTTGGTGGCTTCTCTTCGGAGACCTTGCGAAGTAGTCCATACTGCCGGCTACCTGCATGGATCCTCAACCTTTTAATCACAACAATGTTGTGATCAATTGTATTATCATGCGCTACCATACCTAGTCCACCCTGGTCAGACTCCCAAAATTCTTGGTACTTAGTCCAAACCCCTGCAGAAAAGCGGGATTTGTTGGTATTCGGAGATATTGGTGTAAATGGCTCTGCTTTACTAATATAAGCTTCCCTGCTAGAGCTATCTTCTCGATGTGTTGTTAGGCTGACTGCCAGATTACCAGAACCCGTAACTGTATCGCTTTTTTCTGTGCTATATAACTGATCACTTTGCAGTAGAGGTCTTGGTTTAGGAAATTGCGTCGGGAGCATTGTATCCCGACCTCGTCGGTCACGCATGGCACTTATTAAACAAGTAGAATAGACTATGGTAACTTGTCAGTTGAGCCTTGTTGTGGGTGAAGACAGTTAAAGGACAGCTATAGCGGTAGAAAAGTCAGAAGGCAACATGCATCATTGAAGCAGACAGCAGGTACACCCGATATTGGAATAAATACAAGTGCTGACAAATAAAAATCCTTTTGGCCGCTTTTGAGTGCCAAGACAACAGCTAATATTTAGCCATACTAAGAAATACTTTCTATGGACACCTGGGTTCAAGGTTTCTGATTATCCGCTTTTACAGTATATTGGTAATTTTATCATTACAGAGCACCATCGACACCGTTAGTGGTAATTTACAGGCCACTATATGAGACCCTGTACTTTAAGTTACCGGCCTCGAAGAAAGCAAAATTACAGATAGAAGAATTATACCCACCAGAATACAGTGTTATTGTTCCTTTCAATACTACGGAGGTATATTCCTAAAGTAATAAAACTACGCTAGTACTATTGGCCTCAGGCAGAGATAAAGTCTTTTCTAAATATTCTAATATCACGTAGAACTAATAGGAAGCACTTCTACTTGATTATTATATAATTATAAATTAACTGGGAATCTCTTCAAGAAATAGATATATTTCTCTTGGTTAGAAGTTACTTGCTAGCTGACTATATAGTAATGGCTTTAGCTGAGGCCAATATTAATATTATAAAAAATAGAAATATTCTTAAAACTTCTGTAATGTTGAAAATAAAATAAACATTTTATTTTTTTTAATAAATATATAATTTAAGATTACTCCGTATAGTTGATTATACTACCAGGATGGCTTGGCATCCTGCGGGTCAAATGGCCAACTAACTGTTCCAATGTATTGGTAACCAATCGCACAAACACAAGGGTACCTTGTGGGTACATCGGATACGAGGTAGTATTCGGTTTCTTTTCTTTACCCCTCTTCCAAGGCAATGGCAAGGATTTCTCAATAAATTACAGCGCAGACAAGGATTGTATCGGAACGTTCCCAATATAGCGCTGAGAACCGAACAGGCCGGTTCTGTATCTCGTTCGTATCCAGACTCATGAAAGCTCGAGTATCAAAGTCGATACAGCTGTAAGTTCTTGGCCAGTACGGCTAAGTTCTATTAGGTGGTGTAAACCTATCTGACCCCTGTAATGGTCATGTGCAAGAGGACTATCTCCGCTTAAATGCCGTAAGAAGGCGAATAAAATGCCTGTTTAATAAGACATGAGTTGAATTATACGCATACTAAATATAATATCTTATATTCCACCTCAGAGATACAGCTGTGTCCTGTTCTTATTAGCTAATGCTTGTTTGTGTTGCTGCTGAATAAAAGGTACGTACTACCACCCATTCTAAAACTATGAAGAAGTGTTTGTATCAATCCGCTAATATAAACTGTCTTAACATCAAGATAGCTGTCGGTATCACCAAAAATATGGTTTCAACAAGAGTTTTGGGATCACCAATCCAGCTGTCTTTACCCGAGGCTAATGGTCGCGCCGCCAACCCTGAGACGCCGACTGGCTCTATAGAACCGCTAGAATTCGTTAAGCATGGTAACCCGTTCACAATGGACCGCCTCTTCGTTGGCCTAGAGCCTGCTTGGGGTGGTGTTGACGCCATCGAGTTCACTGAAGATATGCCTGTCTCTTTTGTGACTAGGGTTAATAGAAGTCAACATGATATACCATTACACAGTCTCAGAGAAACCTCTCACAAGCACTTGTTTAACCTCAAGGAAGTGTTTGTAACGGAGCAATCGCTATTCTTGTTTTATCCGGAGTGGGAGGGTATTTCACTGAAAGAGATCCAGACTTTACGGCCAATATTTCAACTGGGAGAAGTTGAAGTAGCTACAGTTTGCTACCAGGTACAGAAATAAACCCCATTTCCAGGAGGAGGTCCTTGCTGACTAAAAATCAGATATTCCAAGGCCTGAGATATATCCACGATACTCTTAACATCAGTCACGGCAATATCCGAGAAGAGAATATCTACATCCATAAAAACGGCGACGTTAAGATTGGTATATCTTACTATCCTACAATATATCTATTTCAACTAATAGATCCTAGCAAGAATCGGCGAGAGTATGGGCCGTGAGTTAAATGATGAAGAAAGATCAAGAGATATCATGGCAACTTTACAAATTGTGCGAAAACTTCTAGGCCTACAATTAAACACTGGGGGTCGTGGAATCATGGAATTACTGGCCCATGATTTTACTGGTGCACCACAGGACACAACAATTGACCAACTACTTCAGGTAAGCTCTTCCTAGATTAAACAAGGCCTTGATATATTATTTCACCTTACAGTACCACGGCTGATACGACGTTTCAAGCATCCACTTATGAAATTCAACTCTGGCTCATGGTGTCTTCGACCAGTCAATCTTTTGTGTGCTATGGTTAGAAGCTAGCATTGTTTATATAACAGTAAACGTGATGAGGACTAGGCTGAGCGAATTTATATATTGTGTATTTATTGCCTAGTAAATATAGTAGTTTATACTGTTGTAATACTGAGAGTTTTTTTTTTCGCAATAATAACTGCCCGATTTATCTAATAATAGTAATATAAGAGTTCGATAGTATCTTTGAATAATTGTTTCAATAGGAACTGTAATTCTTTATATCTATATTTATGCGTAGGTTCTATTTTAAGCAGGCAGTGTCTCCTTCATTTATCTCTGAACTAGATATTGTGTAACTTTGCTATCTAATGAAACAGCTCAGAGGTGCCCAATAAGATGATAGTGTGACACTGGTGAAGCAAGTATTACCTGTAAATTGCTGGATGGTAAAATAACAGGGAGATTAGCGATACTATTAATAGGTACACGGCTTAACAGTTTACTATATTAACTCAACTCCTTCATCGTCTTATATTCATAGTACACTGTTTCGCATTGCTCTAGGTGTACGAATATCTCTACTATGAGCCCTGGTATAAACATAATCCCATCTAGGGAGCTGTGCGAGGGACAGAATACCGAGCTCCCTGACATCGCTGAGAAACCAAAAGTTAACCGCAAAGCAACAAACCTGATTGTGGACACCGAATATGAGCATATGCTTCGGGAACTCGCAGATATTCATTGGGGGTATAACCTACTTTCTAGTTTTGCTGCTTGGATCCTGTTGGCAGGATATCTCGTTATTCCCGGGACTTTCACAACACTCCAGAAAACTGATACTGTAAAAAGTGGACTGTCTGAAAACAATTCTCAGATTATTCTAAATACTATTCAGAATCCTCCTCTTGTGGGTATAGCATGCTCTTTGCTTGCTATCGGCGCAGCTGTTATGGTGTTCCTATATTTCCGCTGGAGGCATAATTATCTTTGGCTTATAAATCGTTTATATATGTAAGCTACTCCTGGTACATTGTTCGATCTGACACTGATAGAATATAGACCTACTTCTCTCAATGCGAGTGCTGGATTTCTTACAACAATTGTCAATGTCTATACAGCAAAAGGTGGCAAGTGGTCAATTATGTCTCTCCTGACAGTAATTGTAACCGCGTTGTCAGCCATAACTTCATTGGCATTGGCTCTTTATTATAAATTTTGGAGGATGGAGAAGATTAGGGAGGAGCACGAGCGGGAACAGAAGGCCGGCTTATGCTTAGTATATCCGTGAGGCATTGTGAGCCTTATCAAATACACACTGCTGCTATTTAATCTCTAGCGGGAAGATACAATTATCTACACGACAGTGGAATTATGTTCTCTGAAAGAAATTATGGCATTGTATACACTAAGTTGCGAAAACAATGTCCGGGTTTTGTATACTCTTATTTTATTATAGATCTTCTAGTCTATAAATAGATGGAATTATCCTTAGTCATTGAAGGCAAATGGTCTGATTGGTGTAAATTGATATACTTAATTATATATGGGTTAGGGGACTCACATCCTAGTAATTAGATGTTTTGGTAGTTAATTTAGTGTATATTAATAAGCCGAGTAACCCTAGTTAGGCCCCGATCTCCCAGAGTCAGCATGTACAATAATACAGAGAAACTAGCAGAATATGCTCAATATCGCCCCACGAATTTTTGATTTAAAAGGCGCTATGTAAATAACACTCAGTATATTAATATTAAATATTATGTAATTTACACCGACAATATACCACAGCTGATATATTTCAAAATCATATATTCTGTAACCTGTTGTTAGACTGGATTTTTTGTTAGTCCACTTATGGTAATTAGAATCTAGGTGTTAAGACCGAAAGTAGCCGTAAATTTAACTAGGTATTAAGTTTCAACTTTGTTTAAATATATATAGCCGAAAATAAAAGGATAATTAATTTCTTTACGTATTACAAACATTTACTTACTATACAGTTTTATTACTTGTATTATGGCTCAACTTTTATATTCTAATAGATCTGAAAGATATTACAGCTACTGACTATATATCCAGTTTAATTTACTGCTTTCCAAGAAAAACCAAGACCACGGTATATACCTATAAGTATACATTGGGCTCAATCCTCTCAATCCTGCCTCCAACCAAGCTGACCTGAATAGAATCTATCGTATAGATATGGCCTGTCAGACTATACCCAGACCACGGCGCTCAAACAGTCCACGAGCAAAGAGTCAACAGAAATATAGACTACGCAGGAGTCTATTTAAGAGTGCGCATAAGTTTGGGATTGAATGTGATGCTGATGTTTGTGTGATCCTTCGTACCCGTGAAGATGGTCGAACTTTTACTTTCAATACGGACTCCTTCGAAAAGTTCCTGCCGTGGTTTGCAGACTTGGTACATTTCTCTTGAGCCACAAATAGTATACAGACTTACAGTATTAGGATCAAAAGTATCCGCCCCCAGTGAGAACGATGTCAAGGGACTTTTTTAAGGCTAAGGATTCACTATCCAGTCAGGATCAAAAGGCATCGGAGTCGTAGCCAGCTACAGTAGATGATGATGATGATTTCATATGCTGACCCCTCGCCGTCGGCGATATGCAAGGAGCTCCCTATCCTATCTATCTATATAATTTCCTTTAAACATTGAACCATTACTTTCCAGACGAATTTGGAGCCTCGTCGAGGCCTGAGTTGGCCTAGTTGCCTGGTATTCTGGCAAAAGAACGTAACACGGACCTACGAGATGCCTACCTCCACGCTATTTCAGAATTCCAATCATATCATCTCGTGTTTGTTGACGAATCCGGGTGCGATAAACGGATAGGATTTAGACGGACAGGTTGGTCTCCATTGGGAATTGCACCGGTCCAAGTGTCCCGGTTTCACCGTGACCGGCGGTATCAGATACTTCCTGCATACGCCCAAGACGGCATTATTCTGTCCAGAGTATTTCAGGGCTCAACTGATGCTGATGTCTTTGCGGATTTTATCGAGCAGCTTCTCCAGCATTGTGGAAGGTGGCCTGAACCGAAATCTGTCCAAGTAATGGATAATGCTTCTTTTCATCATTCTGAACGGATCGAGGAGATGTGTTATAACGTAGGAGTTAGGTAAGTATATTTGCCACCATATTCACCAGACCTTAATCCAATAGAAGGGTTCTTCGCCGAGCTGAAGGCGTTTATTAAACGAAACTGGTACTTTTATGAGGAAAACCCAGGACAAAGTTTTGATGCTTTTCTTGAGTGGTGCATGTTTGAGGTCGGTGCAAGGGAGAAGAGTGCGAGAGGTCATTTCCGACATGCTGGCCTGACAGTCGAAGAAACATAGCATAGACTTGCTACAATATCATTTCTGTCACGGTGACTGCATTGAGAAAAGGGTGTTGGCGGGACTAAGGCTGGGTTACTTCAGTGGAAACTTATTGTTGTGCGTTGCGTCGTTCGTAGTATAAGCTCTTGATCACGCAGTGAGGGCCCCTGACTTAAGACGTATTCGTTGGTGGCAAGGCGGTGGGTGGCGGCGCCACGGATAGACAGAAAACTGTTGATTGACAGAAGTTACGAGAAATATTGAAAGTTTTTCAGTGGCAATAATTGTTACGATAAATTTGAATGTTTCCCCAGCCCCCTGTCTTGAACAGGTATTAGAATAAAAAAGCATGAGTTGGAAGGTTTAGTACTCAGAAATTCTCTTTTACTATAAAGATAGCGTGCGCTGTAAGCTACTTCGGTCAATGTCAAAGCTCCAAACTTGACCATTACGGAATCCAATAGCCAGTTTATCCCCTTGTATAGCATAACATGTTGACCGAAAATCTGATGGTAGATGAAGGAGGGGAGTAACTCCATAGTATATCCATTGGTTTCCGAAATAAATATCTTTTAATGAGTCGAAGTTGGTGACTTGTCTGTCTGGAGGGATGTTTCCGAGACGAACAAGGCCAGTGTTCGTTGAAAGATACTGGTTATCTGCTGAAAATTTTAGGGCGCTAATGGGCGCTGATGTCTTGATTTCCTGCCATGAACGGAACTTAAAGCGACTACCCAAAGTGCGTCCAACATATTTCGATAAGTTCAGGAGTCTAGCAGTATCCCAGAGCTTGACAGTTCGATCGTCGGAGCCAGATGCGATCTGTCGCCCATCCGGCGAGAAGGCGACCGCTGTGACCCAGTTTGAATGGCCGGCCAGTGTCTTCTGCAGCTCAC